CTGAACACTCACCACACATCAGTAATGGGCCCAGATTTCACCCAAATCAGAACATTCTTTTGGATCATGGAAGTTACCGACTCAGCCACAAACACATGTTGTTAACTTAAGCTCCGCCCACATGTTCTCCCTCATTTTAAAGATCAGAATCAGCAGAATTCACTTGTTGATTTATAATCTAAGCATCTATATTTGAAAAGTGTAATTCACTTGGTGAAATTGTATTAGCTGTTAGCTGTTAGCCTTGTTTGTTAGCATCTTTGGCTAAGGCTAATGGAGGCGGGGTCAGTTCAGTGGTCACATGTTCACAGCTGTTTGTCTTTATTCAGGAAGCACTGTTGGAGTTTGTAGAGATGAACTGAAGAAGCAGCTGCAGCAGAAGTTCAGCCGTGTGTTTGAGGGCGTGGCTAAATCAGGAGACTCCGCCCCCCTGACCCAGATCTACACAGAGCTCTACATCACAGAGGGCGGGGCCTCAGAGGTCAACCAGGAACATGAGGTCAGACTGATGGAGAGCGCGTCCAGGAGACCAGCCGCTCCAGAGACCACCATCACCTGTGAAGACATGTTTAAGCTCCGCCCACACTCACCACAGCCAATCAGAGCGCTGCTGACGAAGGGCGTGGCCGGCGTGGGGAAGACTGTGCTGACTCAGAAGTTTAGTCTGGACTGGGCTGAAGGCAGAGCTCATCAGGACCTCCAGCTGCTGTTCCCCTTCTCCTTCAGAGAGCTCAATGTTGTGAAGGACAGAAGCTTCAGCCTGGTGGGACTCATACAGCACTTCTTCAGTCCATCCAAAGGTCTCTGCAGCTTTGAAGACCTCCAGGTGCTCCTCATCTTTGACGGTCTGGACGAGTGCAGACTTCCTCTGGACTTCAGCAGCTCTCGTGTCCTCTCAGACCCCACAGAGTCCGTCTCTCTGGACCTGCTGCTGGTGAACCTCATCAGGGGAAGCCTGCTTCCCTCCGCTCGCCTCTGGATCACCACACGCCCAGCGGCGGCCAATCAGATCCCTGCAGAGTGCGTCTCCATGGTGACAGAGGTCCGAGGCTTCACCGACCCGCAGAAGGAGCAGTACTTCAGGAAGAGGTTCAGAGACGAGCGACAGGCCACAGCGATCATCTCCCACATCAAGAGCGTCCGCAGCCTCCACATCATGTGCCACATCCCAGTCTTCTGCTGGATCCTCTCCACAGTTCTACAGAATCTTCTGGAACAAACAGAGGAACCAGAGCTGCCCCGGACCCTCACACAGATGTACACACACTTCCTGGTGGTGCAGGCCAAAGTCCACAACATCAAGTATCAGCAGGGATCAGGGGCGGAGCTTCACTGGACTCCACAGACCAGGGAGATGGTGACGTCTCTGGGAAAACTGGCCTTTGAGCAGCTGCAGAGAGGAAACCTGATCTTCTACGACTGTGACCTGAGCGAGTGTGGGCTGGACGCTGCAGCCGCCTCAGTGTACTCCGGAGTCTTCACACAGGTCTTTAGAGAGGAGCCAGGCCTGTACCAGGACAAGGTCTACTGCTTCATCCATCTGAGTGTGCAGGAGTTTCTGGCTGCTCTTCACGTCCATCAGACCTTCTACAGCTCTGGACAGAACCTGCTGAAGACACCACAGTCCTCTGAGAACCTGCTGAAGACACCACAGTCCTCTGAGAACCTGCTGAAGACACCACAGTCCTCTGAGAACCTGCTGAAGACACCACAGTCCTCTGAGAACCTGCTGAAGACACCACAGTCCTCTGAGTCTGAGAGAACCTTCTACATGTCTGCTGTGGACCAGGCCTTACAGAGTCCAAACGGACACCTGGACCTGTTTCTGCGCTTCCTCCTGGGGCTGTCTCTGCCGACCAATCAGAGGCTGCTGTCAGGTCTGACTCAGACAGGAAGTGGCTCAGGGACCAATCAGAAGACAGTACAGTACATCAAGGAGAAGCTGAATGAAGAGGGTCTGTCTGCAGAGAGAAGCATGAACCTGCTGCACTGTCTGATGGAGCTGAACGACCTCAGTCTGGTGCAGCAGATACAGAGGAACATGAGAGATGGAACACTCTCCTGGTTAAGTTCTCCTGCTCAGTGGTCGACTCTGTCCTTCGTCTTACTGTCCTCAGACTCAGACCTGCAGGACTTTGACCTGAGGAAATACCGGGCCTCAGAGACAGCTCTCCTGGGTCTGCTGCCGGTGGTCAGAGCGTCCACAAAAGTCCTGTGAGTCCAGACTGTGTTGAAGGTCTTCTGTGGAGGGTCTAGTCTCTAATGTGTCTCTGTCCTCAGGTTGAGGGAGTGTGGACTGTCCCCTCACAGCTGTGGTCCTCTGGCCTCAGTCCTCAGCTCCTCCAGTCTCACACATCTGGATCTGAGTAACAACGACCTCCAGGACTCAGGAGTGGAGCTGCTGTGTTCTGGACTGAAGAGCGCCCCCTGTGGACTGCACACTCTCAGGTGAGAATCCCATGATGCATCTGTGTCCTCTGTGTCCACATGAGTGTAACGCTGTGTGTCTTTAGGCTGTCTGGATGTCTGATCTCAGAGAGGGGCGGGGCTGCTCTGGCCTCAGCTCTAAGCCCCGCCCCCTCCCATCTGAGAGAGTTGGACCTGAGCTACAACCATCCAGGAGGTTCATCAGAGCTGCTGAAGGCTCTACAGGACGACCCACACTGCCCCCTGCAGGAACTCAGGTCTGACTCTGAACTGACCTGGTCTAGGTCTTGGTCTCTGGTCCTGGTCCAGGTATTCGTCTCTGGTCCTTGTCACTGGTCCTGGTCCTGGCTTCTTGTCCTTGTCTCTGGTCCTTTTCTGGTGTTGGTCCAGGTCCAGGTCTTGGTTTCTGCTCCAGGTGCTGGTTCTGGTTCTTCTCCTGGTCCTGGTCTTGGTCCTGGTCTTGGTCCTGGTCCTGGTCCTGGTCCAGGTCCTTGTCCTGGTCCTGGTCTTGGTCCTGGTCCTGGTCTCTGGTCTGGATCCTGGTCTTGGTCCTGGTCCAGGTCCTGGTCTTAGTCTCTGGTCCTGGTCCTGCTCCTGGTCTCTGATCTTGGTCTCTGGTCCAGGTCTTGGTCTCTGGTCCTGGTCTTGATCCTGGTCTAGGCCTTAGTCCAGGTCTTGGTCTCTAGTCCTGGTCCTGGTCTCTGGTCTAGATCTTGGTCTCTGGTCCTGGTCTCTGGTCTTGGTCTTGGACTTGATCCTGGTGCTGGTGCTGGTCCTGGTCTTGATCCTGGTCTAGGCCTTAGTCCAGGTCTTGGTCTCTTGTCCTGGGTCCTGGTCCTGGTCTCTGGTCTAGATCTTGGTCTCTGGTCTTGGTCTTGGTCTTGGTCCTGGTCTTGGTCCATGTCTTGGTCTCTGGTCTAGATCTTGGTCTCTGGTCCAGGTCCTAGTCCTGGTCCTGGTCTCTGGTCTTGGTCTTGGTCTTGGTCTTGGTCTTGGTCTTGGACTTGATCCTGGTGCTGGTCCTGGTCCTGGTCTTGGTCCTGGTCCTGATCCTGATCCTGGTCCTGGTCTTGATCCTGGTCTAGGCCTTAGTCCAGGTCTTGGTCTCTTGTCCTGGTCTCTGGTCCTGGTCCATGTCTTGGTCTCTGGTCTAGATCTTGGTCTCTGGTCCAGGTCCTAGTCCTGGTCCTGGTCTCTGGTCTTGGTCTTGGACTTGATCCTGGTCCTGGTCCTGATCTTGGTCCTGATCCTGATCTCGATCCTGGTCCTGGTCCTGATCTTGGTCCTGGTCCTGATCTCGATCCTGGTCCTGATCTTGGTCCTGGTCCTGGTCCTGGTCCTGGTCCTGGTCTCTGTTCCTGGTGGCTGGTCCTGGTCCTTGTCCTGGTCTTGGTCTCTGGTCCTGATCCTGGTCCTGGTCTCTGGTCCTGTTCCTGGTCCTGGTCTTGGTCTCTGGTGCTGATTCTGGTCCTGGTCCTGGTCCTGGTCTCTGTTCCTGGTCCTGGTCTCTGGTCCTGGTCCTGGTCTCTGTTCCTGGTCTCTGTTCCTGGTCTCTGGTCCTGGTCTCTGGTCCTGGTCCTGGTCCTGGTCTCTGGTCCTGGTCCTGGTCTCTGGTCCTGGTCCTGGTCTCTGTTCCTGGTCCTGGTCCTGGTCCTGGTCCTGGTCCTGGTCCTGGTCTCTGTTCCTGGTCTCTGGTCCTGGTCTCTGTTCCTGGTTTCTGTTCCTGGTCCTGGTGTCTTGTCCTGGTCCTGGTCTTGGTCTCTGGTGCTGTTCCTGGTCCTGGTCTCTGTTCCTGGTCTCTGTTCCTGGTCTCTGGTCCTGATCTCTGTTCCTGGTTTCTGTTCCTGGTCCTGGTGTCTTGTCCTGGTCCTGGTCTTGGTCTCTGGTGCTGTTCCTGGTCCTGGTCCTGGTCCTGGTCCTGGTCCTGGTCCTGGTCCTGGTCCTGGTCTAAAGTGCCTTGTGTGTTGCAGGTTGGATCCTGCTGGAGAACAGTGGATGGTTCCAGGTCTGAGGAAGTGTGAGTTTCTCATTCACTTTATATAAAAGTTATTTATATAAAGTTATTTATATAAAGTTATTTATATAAATAACTGAGAAAAGGCAAGCGCGTAATGGAGGATACTACAGCACGAACGCGCACTGCTGCGCCTGGGCAGGTGAGGAGACCCAGGGTGACCAAGCCCGTTGTTGGAACTGGGACTGTGGGCAGCATCAGAACGATCAGGACCAAGCTGGTGAGTGTGTTCGCGTCCAGATTCTCTCCGGATTTGGATGAAGGTACTTTAACTCTGTATCTAAAAGGAAAACTTGGCCGTGACATCGCTTGTCATAAGCTAAACTCAGCGCACAACCGATTCAGCTCTTTCAAAGTTAGTGCTGAATGTAACGACGTGAAAGAGATGTATGATCCAGAACTATGGCCAGAGGGAGCCCTTGTTCGGCGGTTTTACGAGCCCCGTCGCGTTGGTAACGCTGTGTCAGGCGCAGTGGAGGGGCGTGCGCGTAATGGCACCACTGTGGTGGCGAACTAGTTTGGATCTATGGAGATACGAGTCTTGTCCTATAATTGTCGTGGTTTGCGGCTTGGGAACAGCGCAGGGGATAAAGCTCGACGTTTGGTTATTGACAATCTGCTATTAAAATGTGATGTACTCTGTTTGCAAGAGACATTTTTAGCGCAACAAGATTTGCAGAAGTTAAACTCTTTTAATGACTACTTCCATGGTGCTGGAGAGTCCACTACAGACTATGACCGCGGTATTGTCCGAGGGAGAATAGCAGGAGGTGTAGCAATACTATGGAGAAAGACTCTTGATAAATACATTAAAGTTGTCACACTTGGTGTGGATTGGTGTATTGGTGTTCAGTTAACATGTGATAATAAGGATTTTGTCATTTTAAATGTATATACCCCTTATGAATGCCGACAGAATGAGGATGAATATTTAAACAAATTAGCTTTTTTACATTCTTTTATTGAAAGTTGTCTTACGTCAAGTATCTATGTACTAGGAGACATGAATGCCGACATATCAGATTTTAACTCTGTGTTTGGTAAATGTATGGTTCAGTTTTGTGAAGACCATCATTACATATTGTCCAGTAAGCTGCTCTTGCCATGTGACAGTTATACCTTTATCAGTGAGGCATGGCATACTACTTCGTGGCTAGACCACTGTATTAGTACATCTGATGCGCATGCTTCTCTTGGGTCAATGGAAATACTGTATGATATGGTTACAGGTGACCATATACCTATTTATTTCTCTGTTAAAGTTGAACAGTTGCCAGTACTGTTTACAAATGAGAAAATTGTACATCAAGGGAAGTTGGACTGGTCGTCTCTCACAAAGGAAGACCTTATGTCCTTTTTTATCCAGACTGACAAATTACTCTGCAGTATTAGTTTACCTTTGGATGCAATCAGATGTACTGATCCAAACTGTGTGGATGTTAATCATAGTAGAGACATTTGTGTTTTTTATGATGAAATTATAAGCTCTCTAGATAAAAGTGGTACCCCCTTTCGTAAACTGATAAATAAGAAAAATACTAAAGCCCAACGCACACCGAAACGCCTTGACGCGCGGCAAAAGAGCCGCCTCCTTTATTTTCTATGAGAGAACGCACACCAAGGTTGCAGTGACGCGCGGCGACGCTGGACCGGGCGCCACGATTCAGTTTTGTTGAATCCAGACGCGGCGCCGCGGCTGAAACTGTCCCTCCAAGCACCCGTAGTTTTCTTCTTCTGCGCTTCTTATCACGTAGCTGTGAGCGCGGTCTCAAATTTACACACTTGTCGGCGCTATTGCTCAAGTAAACCGGTCACAATGGACGAGGAAAGCTTGATAACCCAAGTACAGCGTTACCCAGAGCTATTTAACCCACAGAATCCTTTTTATAAGGATATCGTGCGAAAGGAAATTGCCTGGAGAGCAATTTCACTTGAAATTGAATGTACAGGTAAGCTAACAATAGGTAATTGTAGCTATTTTTATTGGCTATATTGGCTATATCAGCTGGAAAAGGACGCTAGCCAAGGCGTTCCGGTGTAATTTGACACATGTCATGAACGCGCGTCAAATGACGCGCCGCGAGGCGCTGCGTTTCGGTGTGCGGTGAGCTTAAGCGGCCTGGCTGGAATAGGTATGTAGCAGAGCACTATGAGCAGGCCCGGGAAGCTACTAAAGAGTGGGCTCAGGCTGGAAGACCTAGACAGGGTCCTGAGTATCAAAAGAAGAAGCTCACCAATGCTAGATATAAATATGCCATAAGGTTTATTAAAAAAAATGAGGAATGTATGAGATCAGATTCCTTAGCTGGGAAGCTCTTGAGTAACAACGTTATTGATTTCTGGAAGGAGGTGCGAGTTCTCAACAGTGATAGGACAACTCTACCATGTACTGTGGATGGCATTTCTGGTCCTGAAAACGTATTGGAGCGCTGGAAACAGCATTACACTGCCCTGTTCAATTGTCTACCTGCTGAAAAACTAAACGTGGAGGCTATAGAAAAACACGAGTGTGTGAGCATAATGGCACATGATGTGTACCAAGCAATTAAAAATATGCCTGACAATAAAACTTGTGGTGCTGATGGTATATATGCTGAGCATTTAAAACACGCCAGCATTAGACTATCCCCTCTTCTGGCCATTTGCTTTACCAGCTGTCTGACCCATGGTATCCTGCCTGATGGACTTTTGTCTGTCACCCTGGTGCCAGTCATAAAGGACAAAGCAGGAAGAATGGGCAGTGTTGACAACTATAGGCCCATCGCCTTAGCGAGTATTACATCAAAAGTGTTAGAAAAGGTACTGTTATGTAGAATACAAGACATTATTTCCTCTGCTGACAATCAATTTGGGTTCAAGTCAAAGCATGGCACAGACTTATGTATATTTGCACTAAAGGAAATAATCAGGAAATATAAGAATAAGAACTCTTCTGTGTTGATATGTTTCATTGATGCTTCCAAAGCATTTGACCGGGTTAATCACCCAAAGCTATTTACTAAAATGCGTCAGCGAGGAGTACCTGAGTACATACTGAGAATCCTAGTCTACTGGTATGCTCACCAGATAATGCAGGTGAGGTGGGGTAGTAGTGTCTCAGCCCCCTTTGGCGTTACCAATGGAGTAAGGCAAGGTGGAACTCTTTCTCCAGTGTTGTTTAGTTTGTATATGGATGAGTTGTCACAATGGTTGAATGCATGTAGGACTGGCTGTATGATTGGTTCAACTCTTGTAAATCACCTAATGTACGCTGATGATGTTGTTGTATTGAGTCCAAGCAGTGCTGGCCTCCAAGAACTTCTTCATGTTTGCTCCAAGTATGGTCTGGAATATGACATCCAATATAATGCCAGCAAGAGTGTCATAATGATTTGCCAGACAAGAGATGACAAAATCTTGAAGTTTCCTGAAAACCTGTCTGACGATGACGATGTGTTACGGCAGTGCTGCATGATGTATGCACAGGCCAATAGGCTTGTGCGCAGGTTTGGTGCATGCACAGATGAAGTGAAAAAGACACTTTTTAAAGCTTATTGTACACCGTTATATACGGCACATCTGTGGTCAAACTATAGACAATCCAGCATGCGGAAGCTACATGTGGCGTTCAATGACTGCCTAAGAATCCTGTTGAAAAGGTCTCGGTGGGAGAGTGCCAGCCTATTATTTGTTTCTTCTGGGATTCGAACTTTTCGTGCTGTACTAAGAAACCTGATGTACAGATTTATTTGTCGACTGAATCAAAGTCAGAATGTGATCATAATGAGCCTGACCAACATCAGAATCAGTGCCACACGCTATCAGTCTGAACTGTGGCGTCACTGGTACAGTAGTCTGCTGTAATCATGTATTTTTTATGATTATTGTTGTTTTTGTTTTTGTGTAATGTCTTTCTTATCTGGACTTCGTGTCTGTAATAAAGTTTAATAATAATAATAATAATAAATAACTTTATATACAGTGCCTTGCGAAAGTATTCGGCCCCCTTGAACCTTTCAACATTTCGCCACATTTGAGGCTTTAAACATAAAGATATAAAAATTTTATTTTTTGTCATGAATCAACAACAAGTGGGACACAATCGTGAAGTGGAACGAAATTTATTGGATAATTTAAACTTTTTTAACAAATAAAAAACTGAAAAGTGGGGCGTGCAATATTATTCGGCCCCTTTACTTTCAGTGCAGCAAACTCAGTCCAGAAGTTCAGTGAGGATCTTTGAATGATCCAATGTTGTCCTAAATGACTGATGATGATAAATAGAATGCACCTGTGTGTAATCAAGTCTCTGTATAAATGCACCTGCTCTTTGATAGTCTCAGGGTTCTGTTTAAAGCACAGAGAGAACCATGAAGACAAAGGAACACACCAGGCAGGTCCGAGATACTGTTGTGGAGAAGTTTAAAGCCGGATTTGGATACAAAAAGATTTCCCCAGCTTTAAACATCTCAAGGATCACTGTGCAAGCAATTATATTGAAATGGAAGGAGTATCAGACCACTGCAAATCTACCAAGACCCGGCCGTCCCTCCAAACTTTCATCTCAAACAAGGAGAAGACTGATCAGAGATGCAGCCAAGAGGCCCATGATCACTCTGGATGAACTGCAGGTAACTACAGCTGAGGTGGGAGAGTCTGTCCATAGGACAACAATCAGTCGTGCACTGCACAAATCTGGCCTTTATGGAAGAGTGGCAAGAAGAAAGCCATTTCTCAAAGATATCCATAAAAAGTCTTGTTTAAAGTTTGCCACAAGCCACCTGGGAGACACACCAAACATGTGGAAGAAGGTGCTCTGGTCAGATGAAACCAAAATCGAACTTTTTGGCCACAATGCAAAACGATATGTTTGGCGTAAAAGCAACACAGCTCATCACCCTGAACACACCATCCCCACCTCAGCTGTAGTTATCTGCAGTTAATCCAGAGTGATCATGGGCCTCTTGGCTGCATCTCTGATCAGTCTTCTCCTTGTTTGAGATGAAAGTTTGGAGGGACGGCCGGGTCTTGGTAGATTTGCAGTGGTCTGATACTCCTTCCATTTCAATATAACTGCTTGCACAGTGCTCCTTGAGATGTTTAAAGCTTGGGATATCAGTAGTGATGTGCTGAGCGGGCCGAGTCTTCGAAGCGTGGGCCGAGTAATCTGGGGGCGTTTCTTTTGAAGTGTGGGTCGAGGCGTGTATTGGTCACATGTGTGATGACGTTCGAAGCCTCGCGAACGGCCGTACCACGTGACTGATTCAGGAAATGATTTGTTGGTTTGGAGCGCGATTCGAAACAAAAGGGACGAGTGAACGCAATGGATTCCCCTTCATCACTTTGTGTGTTTTTGGGTTATTGCGCTTCTCATTTGGCATCCTATTTGGCATCCTATTTGAGCTTCTTTTTTGCGATGGAACCGGCAAGAAAGAGAAGATTTTCTCCAGTTTGGGAGCACTTTGAGCAGATCTCACCTAATAAGGTAAGGCATATCAATAATTCTGTAATAATAGATTACACAAATATGACAACACATAATTTCTCTTGCTCACTTTTCTCTGTTATAGATACGTTTGAATAATAGTTTTTTCAATTGCAGGTGAAGTGTCTGTTATGCTCCAAACAACTGGGTTATAATAATAACACCTCAGCTATGCTAAGGCATTATCGTGCCTTGCATAGCAATGTGGATTCCAACCCAGGTGAACCTGTCTCGGGTAGGCCATTTTATATCATGATAATAATTGATGATTGTCCTACAATTACACTAAATATATTTTATTTGAATGTATTTGTTCATTAGATAAATTTCTAACCCTAATGTGCATTTTCTTTCAGCTGAGACGGTTGACTTGACTGAGGCGTTGGTGGATAT